AGGATATATTATCTATTTTTATCATTAAATCCATTGCTCAGATTAACAGATACAATTTTGCACAATTGGATTGATTGATTGATTGATTGATTGATTGATTGATTTTGCGGAACTGGGGATTGAACTCAGATCCTTGCGTTTGCCAGTCAAGCACTTATCCTACTGAGCCATCTCCCCGGTCCTCAGCCATAAAGGATAAACTGGAAACTCTTATAAGTAAATGGATTCAACTCAAGACCATACTTATGAATGAAATAAACCAGATGCACATGTGTACACATCATATCGTTGCCAAGGGTAGTGGCACACACCTGTAATTCCAGTACCACTTGGGAGGCTGAGGCAGAAGGATCACTGAGAGTTTGCAACCAACCTGGGTTAAAAAGTAAGCTCAAGGTCAGCCTGAATTGTATACTGAGACCTTGTTTCAAAAAGGCAAAACAAACAAACGAAAAAAAAAACCACATTGTCTCTCTGATGTGAGATGCTAAAAGAGTAAGTAAGATCCAAAATGAATGTTGTAAAAAGGGAAGAAACTTCAAAAGGAAAGAAACTAGGATGGAGGAATGGAGAAAAGGAAGGGAATATCTCTCTGCATATACCAACACCTACCCTCACTGTCTACTCCCGTACATGCCAGCACTTTTAACATGTTTATTTAAAAAGTATTTGCTGTTTAAAACTATGCTGAGTAGGATTTCAAAAAAAAAAAAAAAAGAGTAAGATACAGTCCCTAACTTCTAGGAATTCACTTATACACAGACAATAAAGTAAAGGTATACAGATATGTACAGTATATTAACAGAACACAAAGGAATATCAAACAGCGTGAGGAAGGCAAGTCATCAGGGTTCAGTTTCTCAGAGTGGGTAACACCTAAGTCTTTAAAAAATGAATAGGAATTATCTTGGCAAAGAGTTTGTCAACAGAGGGAACAATCTAAGCAAACACAAAAGTGGTAAGAGACAGCATGGTACATTTAAAGAAATGAACACATGCCAGATGCTGCCTAAGGATAGCGAAATGAAAGAACTGGAATGGGGGGGAACCGTTCAGAGACAGGAAGATATCAAATCATAAAGGAAGAGAATTTATACAAAAGACAAGATTGAATGGGGGGAGCTGGCAGGATAGCTCAGAGGAATAAGCACAAGCCCCACCCCCAGGTGAGCTGAGCTGGCTACACCACATGGTGGTTCAGGCCAGTAATCCCAGAGCTGGAGACACTGAGACAGGAGGATCACTATGAGAAAACAAAGCAAGATTTTTTTTTTTTAAAGGAAACTTTTCCTATAAAGACCCAAATACTATAATAAATATTTCAGGCTTTGTGTTCCACATATAGTCTGTTACAACACTTGTTTTTCTTTGTTCTTTAAACATTCCTAAATAAAACTATACTTAATGATCCATTAAAAAAAAAAAAACCATAAGCTGGGTTTGGGATGTGAGCCACAGTTTGCTGATCCCTGCTAGACACAGGTAAAGGGAAGATTAACCTTCTTATGAGATTAATATTCCTAAAATGCTACTTGCATCATGTTAGTCCTTTACTCTGAAATCTCCATTGGTTCTCACTGCCCAATGAGTAAATTCAATCCCTATAAAGCCTAACATTCACGGTATGTACACTCTAGCTCCAACTTACTAGTTTAGGACCATGAATTATATACATCAGAACTTTCCATTCCTATTAAACTGAATTACTTGTTACCTTTGTGAAATTTCTCAACCCAGTTCCTTCCTCAGCTCCAAACTTACCCAAACATCCTTCCTTCAAAGCATAATTCAAATCCTTTCTCAAAACTCCTAAAAAGAAGGGCTGGCCAAATAGCTCAGCAAATTAAAGTGACTCCATGCAGGCTCAGGGGCTGGGGTTCCATCCCCAAGCCTGCCATGCTGGCCTCACCCCAGGGGCAACTGAGATGGCAATTGAAACTGGGTGTGGTGGCGTGCACCTGTGATCCCAGGGAGGCTGTAAACAGGCAGATCACTGCAAGTCTGATCTAGTAGTGAGAACCTGAACACCCTGTAGACCCTTCCCTAAAAAATAAAAAAAAATAAACAAAAGCTCCTAAAAATCACTATCTCAATTTATCTAGTATTTAATCACTGTTTCAAATTCTTTAAACAAACTGTAAATTCCTTATGGGTAAGCAACAATTTATACTACTGTCTATTGATATTATACAATACAAGGGGCAAATAAAATAGCATGTGTGCACACTGACATGTACATACACACTTTTTTCCTCAAATATCTAGGTATCTCAAAGCAGATAGGGTTTCAATCTTAACGTCTGTCAGTAACTGAACACTTTCATTCTATGGACACAACCTGAACACTGCAAGAACTACAGAATGACGATATACAAACACATCTTTCCTGTTCTTCACATGTTTTGAGGTCTAGTTACTAGTCCAACCCGAAGTTTACTTAACTATAGGTTTGTTTTTTTGTTTTGAGACAGGACCTCACTAACTTGCCCAGGCTGGGCTCAAACTTTGAATCCTCCTGCCTTAGCCTTCCAGAGTGCTGGGATTACAGGGAGGAGATGTAGCACCAGGCTTACTTCATTTGTTTTTGAAATACAAATTAAGCTTTTAGAGTGACACTGATTTAAATTCACCTTCAAATTCTTCAACTATTACTCAAATTTAAAAAGTTTAGGGGCCGGCCAAACAGCTCAGCAGATTAAAGTGCCTGCTTAGGCAGACACAGCAGCTGGGGCCAGGGTTCCAGGGTTGGATCCCCTGCTAGCTGTGCTGTGCCAGCCCCGCCCCCAGGGAACACTGAGACAGCCATTGAGACTGCACATGATGGCACACGCCTGTAATCCCAGCTCTCGGGAGGCTGAACACAGAGGGATCATTATGAGTCAGATCTACGTAGTGAGACCCTGTAGACCCTTACTAAAATTCAAAAAAAAAAAAAAGGTCTTACAAGTGTGCACCCCCCAAAAGTCACACACATGGCCTGAATTTTAGTAATAAGATTCGCTATGACAGTTTATATAACCAAAATGGTATTAATGAGTTCATTCATTATAGATATAAGAATTCTTTATACTATATGAAAGTTTAAAGAAAATAGTGCATTTCAGTTCACTCTTGATAAATAACTACAATCACAGAATTTTTTGACTAAAGGATTTTATATTTGCAAACATATACTTAAGTCTAAGTCTAAAATATGAGCCATTACCAATTTTACTACCCAAAGACTATCCAAGAATCTAGGGGCTGGGGAACATAGCTCTGCAGTCTAAGCGCCTGCCTAGCAAGCCCAAGATCCGGGTTCCATCCCCAGCACCACATGCTGTGCTGATCCCACCCCCAGGGGGACAACGGAACCAGGAAACCAGGCGTGGTGGCACATGCCTGTAATCCCAGCGCTGCGGAGACTGAAACAGTAGGACCACTTCGAGTCCAGGCTGTGTAGAGAGACCCTGTACCAAATAAATAAGCAAAAGATTAAAAAAAAAAAATCTATAAAAATTCCTCCACAATACTTGCCCAGTTCCAATACAAACTATGACAAAAGTTGAAAACACTTGAGCTGGCAATGTAGCTGAGTGACAGAACATTTCCCTCCATGGGGGGCGGTGGGGAGGTTCAATTTTAAGTACCTCAAGAAAAGTAAGTTACTTGTATACAAAACCTCAAAGAACATACCAAAAGATGGCTGAAAGCTGTGACTTTTTTATTACAACCGAAGAAGGGTATTATTATTCACTGAATCACAGTATTAATAACTAATTAGAAGACAAGATCAGGAGCCAAGGACTCTCATTTCTCAATTCCTGTTCTACCATGCCTTTGTTCTTGGATTCTCTAGTTTCTCCATACACAAACGAGAAGAGAACTGACATTCTCATACGACCTGATTATGAAGTAGTTTAAGACCAAGAGGGGAAGCCACTGTAACCCTAAAATGCCATATTTGCTTAATCCAAAACTACAGCTACCTGTTGTAGCAATAGTTGCAAATCCGGTCATCATAATCTTTTTTGTATCCTACAGCAAGTCTAGTAGGAAAGTTCATGTTTTAGTAAGCCCGTTTAACAACTTCAGAGAAAAGAATTTTTCTCCTAATCCTTTGTTTTCACAAAAGCCACGTCACTGTCCAATCCAACCTTTTGCAAAGAGAAACATAATCTGACTCATATTAAGAAATTGGCTCTAGATATTAATAAACGCATAACAAATGAATGAAGGCTATCAGGAATCACAGAGGAACTTTCATTGTTAATATACCAAAATTGTGACCCCTGAAAATAATCCCAGCAAAGTCGTTACAACAAGTTTTATTAAAGGATGAATCCCTACACTTAATTTTTAGGCAGGAGACAAGATTGAATTTATTTAAAGCCTGAAGTAATTCGGAAGGTAGCTCCAGCACCTGCTTGGCGCTGAGCGAAAAGAGAGACGGGAGGCAGCTCAGGAAAAGTGCTGATGCCATCTCCAGCTGCCCCGGAATGACACTAACAATGCAAACACCGACAAAAGAGCAGGGAGGACACCCAAAGTCCCTGCCTGGCAGTACTTCATCCGAGCCCCAACGTACAAAGCGGCAAATCCCGGGAGGGCCCTTCCGGTGACAGGTCTCGCGGCGAACACCTTCAGTGCCCCGGCCAACGTGAGAAAGTCCTGTTCTCAGTCCTCCGAGCGCGCGCGCGCGGAGCCCCGCGGCGGCCGCCCGGACGCCGTCCTCCCCGGGCAGTGGCCGGCCGGCCGCCCC